GTATGTGGGTTCCGCCCCTCCATGAGAAATACAAGCAACTTTCTGCAGATCCGTATTGTGGCCACCCCCAACTCCACCATCTTCTGCCCCATGGGAAGTTTGCTGAAAATCTCTTTATGACTAACAGTGTCACCAAGCAGCACATTTGAGGGTTAAGAGAGTTCATTTGTTACCTGTTGGAAATGTACTATAAATGTGCTAGCTTCCCTCTTTTTCTCTTCCCCCCAAATAGTGAGAATTGTTAGAAGTATGTTCTTCATTTAACTCTGAGACCGTGAAGGAATAGTAATTATAAAGAATGTTGAAATATCTTCCCACCACTTGAACTGTTTTCCCCCCAATATCTTCTCTTTAATGCTTTCCAACTCTTCTTTGCCCCCATCTCCGCTCCAATTTAGAGGTTGCTCAGTTTTCCTAGGGAAGCTGCCCAGTGTTACATAATAAAAATGTGAGTGATTGCCGAATTCATGCAATTAAAGTAACATCTAGCTTGGTTTTTAGTGAGTCAAGGAGAAGCTCATTTTTTTTTTTTATCTCTGTAGCTAGGTCTGGTATGCTATTAAGCTGTTTAATAAAGTGAATTTAATATTACGGAAAATGTTCTACAAATTATCATTCCAGGAAAGTAATTAACTGCTGTCTCCCTGACACATTTGCAAAAACTGTATTGTAACTCTGAATTAGCTTATTAATCACTCTTCCCTTTAGTGCTCTCAACTCCTTATTTGTTTGTTTGTTATTCTGGAGCCCAGCAGATAATAATGCTACACTGTTAATATGAAGACGAGAGCAATTTGTTGCATATGTAACAACAAACCAATAGGGAACCAATATTCAAAATTAGGAATACAGAAAGGTTTTTGGTCCAGCATATCCAATATTCTGGCTAGTGGCAACTCCCCACTAGTTGAAGGTGCAAACAATCACACCTAGGAGTTATCTATGATGCCAGCTGGGACCCTGAATATCATCCCTAATATTAGACCATGCCAACACCATGTCCAGAGCATTTGTTTAATAGGCCCCTATGGAACTGTCCTCTGCAGATTATGGGATGCTGTAAAATTCCACACAAGTGACAATCTTCCATCAAAACTACAGTGGGATATTTAAATGAAGCCTTCTACTAAGACTGTGCTCTTTGGTTCTAATTTATTCAGCATTCTTAACACTTCAAAGTACATTATAACCACTCTGATTCATTCTTACATCAAGCAAAATTGTTTCCATTAAATTAGAGTTGTCAAAAGAACTTTAAAGGGTTACAATTAGCACAAGCAGAATTCATCTATACATGCAAAAAGCATGTTCCTATACAGAACCTTTAATATTTTTAGACTACTTTTCCTTTTCACAATTTTGCAAAAAGAACTGGGAGGAAAGAGAGCACCAAGGGGACTGGATACAAGAATATTAAAATACATCTGAAATAACACAGCAACCATTAGTCCACCTTACAGCAAGTTAGTTTAGCTCGCAGGGATCAGCCAAGCAGCTCCCACATGTGATGCCCCTGGGTAACTCCCACTGATTCCTATAAATGGTCAAGCATTAAAAATGGCCCAAATCACACAAGATGGCTAAAACTAGAAGAATCGCTCACATGAGATTTTGTGAGATTCTACCTACTTTGTATAACTTAAAAAAAAAGTGTTGTTATATTTGGCATCCAGGGCACTGCATGGAATCAAAGAGTGGCTATCACTTGGAAAAGATGCAGAAGATGTGTGGCATTCGTTAGCCTGTTTCAACCGTAATGATTTTTTTGTTTGTTTCATGTGGAGTTTTTACAGTGCTGAAAGCCTTGACTCCCCCCATGGGTACTGTGTTGCCAACCCTGACCTAGCATGTTGCAGACAGCCCTTTCCAGAAAGCTTCAGCATTGGCTAGAAGAGAGGGAATTGGGACTTGTAATCAACAACAAGGTGAAGAAACAGTTTTACAATGTGTATAAAATTCTCTGCTTCAGTGGCTGAGTTAAGAAAGCTTTTACAACTGTAGGAAAGGAAAACAGTTTTCCTACAGTTGTTAAGAACTTTCTTAACTCAGCCACTGAAGCAGAGGATTTTACAACATTCCCAATGGACGAACTATTAGTCAGCACTCTTCAGGTAAGGCTTGGCTTCACAACAACCAACATCACAATTATTGCTCCTCCTCACAACTGCATTATATTGAGCATATTTGCCAATAATTAATCTATTTTCAGCCTGTATAAAATTGAGGTGCTAAAGGGGGGAAAAATCACAACAATTACCTTCTTATATTTTGTTGCAGTTTCCTGGGATCAAATGTTTTCTCAGAAGTGGATGTTTTTTGGCTAGTCACTACAACATCTTTAGCCTGGGGAAAAATAACAGTTGGTTTCCTTATTTTGTTGCAGCTTTTAGCAAAATGGGGGAAAATGGAAATACAAATGTTTTACTTAATGTTTCAGTCCATATTATTTGAATAATACATTTTTAAGGCTTGGAAAACAAACACCTAAAAGAATATTTGAATGAACTAAGTATTGGAAACTATTCCCCATCTCCACCTATAGGTATATTTGCATTTCTTACATATAATATATATTGATTCCAAAAGAATTATTCTCAAATTGTCTATTAAAATATATAAAATGTCATCTAGCCAAAATTAAACCCATCCGAGAGGCACATATTTCAGTCAGACGTTCATAGAAATCCTCAGCTCTTTTCTATTTCAAATCTTCACAGAGATTTGAATTCCTCTATTTTGGCTGAAAAAAACTTTATAATGAAGACTTAAACTAAAATGATCCAAGGCTGGGTTGTTATATCTGATACAACCCCCCCCCAGATCTAGACTACAAACTAAGTAATCGTTCCCAGAAGTGCTAAAGAACTGAACTGAATATTCATGAACTTATAGAATATCCATGTCTGATAATAAAAAGAAATAATTTTAGGATAGAAATTGTGAGTAAGAGTGTATGTTTTTGTCTTTACAAGTGTACATGCACACATATACAGAAGCATACACACAAAAATAAATGACAAGAGTTTTTTTAGAGTTCAGTGGCCATTCATTTCTAAATACTTTGCTTATTAAGTAATCTATAATTAATTTGTTTGGGACTGGACAAATGAAAGGAAGCACACATTGGCTCTGTCCATCCATCCATCCATCCATCCATCCGAGAATTAAGGGCAAAGGGAAAACCAGATTTACCCTAACCATCAACTAGAATGGAGTTGGCTACCATGAGATTTCTTCTCATTTCCCTGCTAGGCAGGACACTATTGTCAATTGTCCTAGGACAGCAGAACAGAGGGAAGTATATTTTGATGGATGCCAGTCAAGAATCCAAGATCATTATAGGTTCATCCATTAGCCAGAGTAGACACAGCAGGCTTGTTCTCTACCTTTCCTTCCTATCAGAAAGAACCTTTCCCTCCCATTTTCACTGGTCATCTGAGCCAAAGAGAAGAACTAAAAACTGCTCACTTATATGTGCAGTGTGCTTTATTTTGTATCTATTACAAAATGCCCTGAAAATAATTCAGGTAAAAAATGGAGCATCAATTTCTAAAACAAAAGAAATACATAAATAGATGCATTATGATTAAAATC